TCGAGTTGGTCTTGTGGATTCACTTTGTTGACCAACAGAAATCTGCTTGGTTTGAAAGTATCTTCTGTGTGACCTGTGCTTCATCCATCACAATACTGAAAGCAGACTATGGACGAAATAGACGACATTTTGCCAATATAACCGCACATTAAGGATGATGTTGAATGGGCTTTATCTGGTTGGTGGCAAAGACAGCTTTGCCTTTGAGCTATAAAACTCAACCACAAAATATTCTTCAAAAAGGTTTCAGATTTTTGTCACAAGGCTTCTAGCAAACTCCAGGCACGACTTCAGATATTTCTCAGAAGTGTCGCTCCCTCTGGTCACTGTCCCAAAGCGACTGAATCTGTGAACTACAGAGGAGACTGTTGTTGTCTGGAGAGCTTCTGCCATGTCAGCCTTCGCTCTGCAACTCTTACTGGCCTCCTGGTCACTTCATTGACGAGCGCCGTTCTGGCTCAGTTATTCTAATTTGATAGGATGGTCTGGTCTTGGTAGTGTCTGGGTCAAGACGTTTTATAAAACCTGGAGAAACTACAGTATATGTTAGCATTCACATTGATCTCACTTGCAGGTATTTAGGTGGCATCTGCCATTTTTACTCCATGGAGCTACAGAAACTTGGTTGGGTGCAGCAAAAGTTTGATGAAAAATTACAAAGAAAAACATATATTTGGAACATTCATCAGTGAGTCACTGCACAATAATAACAGCAATGTATGAAAGTCTGTTTTTGCCTGTTTTTAGTTTTTATTTCTTGTAATTGCGACATTAAATCTCAGAACTGTGACTTTATTTCTTGAAATTGCATATTTTTTTCTTGTAATTCTAGCTTTATATCTTTTCAACTGTAACTTTAAATCTTAAAATTGTGACTTTATTTCTTGTAATTGCACATTTATTTCTTGTAATTCTGACTTTATATCTTTCAACTGTTATTTTAAATCTCACAACTGCACCTTTATTTCATGTAATTCTGCCCTTATATCTTACAAATATTTATATATTGTTACTTATTAGAATTGATATCTTCTGTGACTTTAAATCTCACAATTATGATATTATTTCTTGTAATTGTGACTTTATATCTCACAATTCCAACTTTATTTCTTATAATTGTGGCTTAATATCTTCCAACTGTGACTTTAAATTGAAATCTACTTTATATCTCGCACTTGTGAGACAGGTTTCTATCTAATCTAATTTTATCTTCATATCTTTTCACTCTGAGCCAGAAATGTGCTTCTACTCCTCGTTCTCTGGTTTTCTTGTGCAATGACTATTGGGTGTGAGAAAAAATCCCTTTAAATGTGCTTTTAAATTTAGTCAAATATGACTAAACCTTTGACATCATCATCTCTTTTTTTAGCACTATTCACTCTACAGGTGTAAGGTATTAATGTGTCAGCATGTGTGTGAATGAGCGTGAGCATGTTTGTGAGGTGCAATGTGATGCATAGCATCTTCCTCTGCACAGTTTTGCATCGTCAAAAACACCCCATTATTCATAAGGTTATAATTGATGTTCTCTGAGCCATGGGCCATTAAATACACTCTGCTCTCTCTCTCTCTCTCTCTCTCACACCCCCTCTCTATCCTGTGTCTCCTTCACTGTGGCTCAGTAATGGTGGCAGACATTAGCCTGCTGGCTTGTAGCGCTTTCCGGAAGGATCCCCCCAGGCTTCCGACAAAGAGGGCAGATTTTTAACAAGTCTGGCTCTTCCAGCAGCCTGCTGATGAGGACAACCATTTGCTAGCAGTACCTGCCTTACTCCTATCACTGTCTCCCAACCTGACTGGCCGAGCTTAGCTGCAACTGCAGTCATGTAAGTTCACACTTTTTGACACCTATCTTCTCTCCCTCCCTCACGCTCTGTCATTCAGCCAGCAAATTCAAAACCTTTTGTTTTTTTAAACAATTGGATTCCATTATATACATTATAAGAAGAGTGTAGCAAGCGTATAGTTTTTCCATTAAGAGTTCCCTTGAAAGAAACTTCCAGTAAAAATAAAAGTAGAATGAAAAATATACAATTTGTATTATTAATACTTAATTATCACATAATGAATGACTTTTTATAAATATATTAAATAACAATGTAATATTTTTATTTTGGGGTTTTATTTTTTAATTAATTTAAATGATAAATTATATTATAAATAAATAAATAAATAAATATTAAGAAGAAATAGATAGCACTTAATGAATTTGTTTAATAAAATATAATAAAGTTCTCAAGATGCGAAACGTTTTGTACTTTTATGTGTACTTGTTAAAAAAGGAATGTTATGCTGATATTTGAACGTACACTTTTATATTATCAACTGTTTACTTTACAAAGTTATGGTAACAGGGTGGACAGTTAAAATGGACATTACAAGTTTTATTCTCAAGGTGTGAAACTATTAAGTACTTTTTGGAAAAAATAATTTAATGATTATATTTTAAAGGGGTCATATGATACGATTTCAAGTTTTCCTTTCTCTTTGGAGTGTTACAAGCAGTTCGTGAATAGATAAGATCCTTTAAGTTGCAAAGACTAAAGACTCAAACCCAAAGAGATATTCTTTATAAAAGTTAAGACTCGTCCACGCCCCCCTAAAACGCCTCGTTCAAACACGCCCCCCACATGTCTATGTCACTGTGTGGGAAGATTTGCATAACGCCGCCCAAATATTCACGCAAAGAAAAAAGACGTAACTTTATTGTTGTTGTCGCTGCACCTTTAAAGTTCACTTTTATGTTATCAGCTGTTTACTTTACAAAATTATGGTAACAGGGTGGACAGTTTTACAATTTAAACTGACTTGCAAACCTTGTTCTCAGAAAATTAAGGTAACAGGGTTGACAAATTAGATTGCCCCCCACTGAGAATCATTAAAAAATCAAGATGACTTAGACTTGTCCTTGAAACCACAAACCATTATGATGCATAATGACATGATTGTTTTATTTAAAATGAACATATTTGCTATTTATGCTAAGGGCAAAAAAAAAAAAGCATCCGTATGATAAAAATTAGACGACAGCTGGATTCTTGCATATTCACTGTTTTGCAGAATGAGAAACCACTCACATTTCTGTTAGTCACATATAAAAACCGAGTCATTTTTGAAGGGAAACCCTGCTGTGGTATTGTCATAAGTAAAACAGCGAGCACAAAGGAAAAGCATTAGGTTTCCGATGGCTCTTTGAGGCCACGACGTCTGATGCCAGAATCTTTCTCAGCGCACTGAAGAAGAGCATGATGGGAGACTTGCTGCCAATCTCATCATATTAGCAGCTCTCAAAACCGCCCGAGTCAGCAGTACCGCAGAGAAAATGATTAGGACAATATTGCGAATGTGACATTTCTGACGGACGGAGATGGCTGGAGGCTAGATGAGCTGTGATTGGCTGTCCTCTCGTTGTAATTAGTGATTTGAAGTTGGAGAACAGGTTTAAAGTAAGTATTGACGTCTCTCTTGCCCTTTCCCTCCCTGTCTTTCTCTCTCTCTCTCTCTCTCTGGTTGTAGAAAGTATGAAGCAGAGCTCACAGGCATTGACGCAACTGCAGCAAAATGATCATAAAGAGGAAATTAGCTGCAGGACACACACACACACACACACACACACAATACATTACGGCTACTTAGAAAAGTACTTCCGCAGCGGCAATACACTTACACTGTGGCAAATCACAAACTATTCTAGAAACTATTCAACTAAAATATTTGTTTTCGATGAAACGTGTGCACAAACATAGGTCTGGACCGAATTAGAATAACAGCAAAACAAACACCAATCTCTTTCAATTTCTAACTGTCGTATGGGCTATTACACCCTTGCAGCACCTCATGATGTCAACTTATTTACGGATGTCATTAGGAGAAGGGGAGGGAAAGGGTTGCTATTTAAAAAAAGATTAAGAGCAGAGACAGAGATGAATGTTTGCGGCTCTTTTTACGCACTGCAGGTCCTCGTTGTATCATTTAACACACACACACACACACACACACACAGTCTGTTCTAGTAGAGGGGACTTGGGACAGTTGGACCGCTGTGCCCGCAGGTGAACTTCTCATCCTCTTTAAAAATTAATTATTGATGTCACAGGGCGAGGAAACAGGAAAAGGGCAACCCGAGCACAGCCTCTGCAGTCCACAAAAGCAGACCTGCTCAGGAAGAGCTGCGCCATATCAACTGCATTCAGGGAAAATCACGTGGATCGTTCTGTGGTTTGTGAAAGTGTTTGTGAATGGACGACGGAAGAAAGAGATAATGAGTTTGAAGAGCCTGACAAACACGGCCCACCGTGAAATTTGAGCCTAATGCTGGAGAGTTCAAAACCAAGCCATTAGGCATCGTTGACCCCTGCTCCTCCTTCAAGAGATGAACGCCACACTGCCAACGGCCCCGCGCAATAACATTAGCTTTCTCTCCTGCAAAAGCCATTAGCTTTCAGAATAATGGCAAAGATTGACAAATACAAATGAACAAAACGAATACACAGCAACTTCCTAAAATCTTCATGTTCTGCATTAAAATAAATAAATAAAGTAACTTGTTTTAAAGATTTTTTTTTATATATATATCTTCACTGAAAAAAGGCAAAAATACTACAAAAAAAAAAAAACAAGAACAAAAAAGGCAAAAAAATACTAATTAGGCACAGGACTTTTGCCACTGAAAACATATTTTATAAATAATTGTCTGTATTTGTATCCTCATTCTTTTGGAATGACTGTACATCCACAATAACATTGTGGTCACCTAAAAAAAAAAATCATAATAAATAAATAAATAAATAAAACATCACTCAAAACAAGATTTTGCTGAATAAGATACGAATAAGATTTAATATACTCTCTTTGAAAACAAATTATAATACCTACATTTTGCTTCTCAAGTAATTTTTTCTTATTTTAAAGTTTTTAAAAAGATCCTTATTAGGAGAAAAAAAATAAGCTAAACATACTGATTTTTTAATTTCAGAGTAAATAAAAACTTTTGATATCTTTTTCATATTTTTGGTCTGGTGCTACTGGAATGCTTGTTTGGTTATGGGTTCTGGTTCTGTATCTGACATTTTGGATTTCTTACTTTGGATGTGTGAACTCGTCCACCAGCGTGACCTTCTCCACTAGGTCTCCTCCGATGCTGCGCACCAGGTCATAGAAGTCGTTTTCTGTGTAACCTTCGGCCGGCAGCCAAAAAGAGATGTCATTGAAGAGCGCTGGGTACTTACTGAGAGGCTGCGAAAAAGAGAGAAGAAGAAATCCATTTGTTAGGTATACAATACATCAATACATGCAAGTAAAAAACGGACGCATATATATATATATTATTTATTTTTTACAATGTTTATTCAAATACCTCACTATTTCAAGCACCCCGTCCACCAGCGTGACCTTCTCCACTAGGTCTCCTCCGATGCTGCGCACCAGGTCATAGAAGTCGTTTTCTGTGTAACCTTCGGCCGGCAGCCAAAAAGAGATGTCATTGAAGAGCGCTGGGTACTTACTGAGAGGCTGCGAAAAAGAGAGAAGAAGAAATCCATTTGTTAGGTATACAATACATCAATACATGCAAGTAAAAAACGGACGCATATATATATATATTATTTATTTTTTACAATGTTTACCTCACTACCTCTCTATCTCAAGCACCCAGCACTTACACACACACACACACACACACACACACACACACACACACACACAGGAGGATGTTGGTGTGAGCGAGACATCTCTTCAGCCGGAGGTTAAAACTACAGTCACACCCTGAGGCCATCATACCTACAACGGCTAGTATCCTCACATCAGCAGGCATCTGAGCTCTCCTGGCTCTCAGAAAACCTCAAACACTCATAAAATACCAGCTGTTGTCCTCAACAAGAGCAGCGAAAACAACAGAAAAGCTGTGTGGTAAAACATGATCAACTACCTCAAACAACCTCCTTTCTGCAGGTAAATGTGTTCACATCATTATTATTCAGCAGTTCTGCTCCTCTGATCTGATTTGCAGAGCGGTGTTCCAAGAGTATGAAGCAAAAACTTGCAATATGTATGCATATATAAAAATATATAATTGAACATTTGCATAGAGTAAGGGCTATTTGGTTAACAGTCTATTTAGCAGTCTATTTGCTTAGCAGTAGTGGTATGCTAATTTAGTATGCCGAAACCTAGCTAACTAAAAAATTAAATAAAAAAAACATCAAAAGTTTAATTTAACAATCTATAGTGTTATTTGTTGTATCAGATATATCACATAATTTAAAAAGACACCAAAGATCGTATTTTTTCAGCCAATAGAATAGCTTTGGAGTCTTTCTGGAATGACTCCAAATCAAACTGCTCATGACACAGCCATTTTATAACCGCAAAGATCCACTCAAAGCTGTGTGTCATATTGATTTGACCAGTTAAAAGTATTTTTTTCCTCTTTTGAAAAAGCATTTTCATCCAGCCTTAGAAAGCCACCAAGCTGATTTTCATTGGTCAGACTGGTCTGGTTTGATGGTTTTAGAAGCTTTTAGAAATGTGTCAGCTGATCAGGGGTGTGTCTCCTCTAGAACAACTGTTGTTAATGTCGTCAGCTGAAGATGAAATAATGTATTGCTGTGAATAATAAACATTGCATTTGAATTTTAAGTCGCTATTCAATCATGCAAATCAATCACAGTATATATTGCTCACAAGCTTGATCTGCAAGTCCACTGTCATACTAACATAGACCGCACTGTAAAAAATGATATGATCAGAAAGTCATGCCAACTTTTGTTTTTACATTACAGATTTTACAATTAAGAGCTGCAGTTCCAAACTTTGTGATCCTGTTTGTAAATTTTTTGGGAAACACAAAATCATTGAAAAATGTTGGTAACAATGGAACTTGTGACCATAGGTGGCAGTGATGCACTGAAATTTTGTCAACCAAAAATATTCGGCCGAATCAGCGAAATAAAATGAATATTTGTTTTCAGCTGAAATGGTTTTGGAGGGCTGAAATCATTGACCAAAACATTCTCCAACATTTTGACTGTGTAAGAGTCTATATTGTGGATAAACAACAATACGTAAACATGTCAGCTGTGTGGACACTAGGACTGGGTTGACAATAATGATTTCTCACTTTTAATCAATCTTCATTTTGATGAACCGATACTGATTCTTAAATTGCAAGAAAGATGATTTCATTTATGGGGTTTTCAATTGACTTGAATGATTGAACAAAACTTCACTAAACATTACTTTTAGTGTACCTGTCTCCTATTGAATAAACACGTCTCATTGTTCAAATTCTGTCAATTTTATCTTGATATTCAAACAATAAATGTCATTTTGATGGTCTTTAATGAGGCGTGACAGATCGCTGTAGTTGAAGAAGCACGTGAACTGTTCATCTCTTCAACTTTACTTCAAGTTATAGCAAGAAATAAACATGAATGAACATCAGAAGGTGTTGAAAGAAAGCTTATGGCTTACTGAAATGAATCATGTATCATGTAATCACTTGAAAGGACGTCAATAAAACCAATAATAACCAACTGCAGAGCCGTAGAGCCATTTAATTAACCTCACTGAAAGCCATTCAGTGTCCATAGCTCGTTAGTTACTGTATCTCTCCTTTAGCGAGGAGCATTTTGCTGAATATATGCACTATATTACATATTATTTATATTTTTTCTTTAACCTAGTGATGTCTTCAATATTTAATGTAAGTTTGAATAAATAAGTCATAAAAACAAGCTTTTATTACAGATACCGCTTAAATGTTTCAATAACGAATTGGAGTATATTATATTATATTATAATTATATAAACAATTACAACATTTATAACAGTTATCATATCAAGTTGATATAAAAACTAGTGTTTTTAATTTTTAAATGTTTGTATAATACTCAGTGTGCTGAGTATTAAATAAACTTGATTAATTTGTTGACTATTAAATACGTTTTATTTTCAGCTAGGGTTTCGGTTTTGGGCTAAATTAAACTTCTGTAATAACTTTAACCTCTAATAGTTGGTTGATGCTTCCGGGAAAAGAATATGCCCTTATCTTATTAAATCTATCATATCATATCTTAGTCATATCTTAATCTGCTTGATGTGAATTTAAATGCACTACAGAGATCATGTAAGTATGCCGTTAGTGTTTGTGAGGTTATTAAAGTGAGGACAGTACGGGAACCTGCATTGTGCTTCTTGTTTGTGTGTGTGTGTGTGTGTGTGTGTGGAGGCCGTATTTGATTTATAGTGTGCACTTGTGTGTATGTTGTGCATGTTGCTCTCACAGGACACGACAAAACACAGAGGGGCGGATGAGAGCACTGACCCCACGGTCATACCTCATTACCAGCGCAGAGAGAGAGACAGACAGAGAAACTGTCATATATAACCTTCGCAGAGCATCAGGCAAACTGACAAGCAAATGAGCTCTCTCTCTTTCTCTCTCTCTCTCTCTGAGTAATGGACAGTGGGCAGAGAGGGAGATGGGCTGAGAAATGACCTACAGCCAGAGAGCACAGGTAATCAGTCTCACACACATTCCCTGCAGGACGACCATCCAGCCTACCTGATGCTACACACACACACACACACACACACACACACACACACACTCATCTACAGGAGGACACGTTCAGTGTCAAACCTTTAATAGACCAAGGTCCCTCAACAATATAGGCCATGTGAGACCTACAGGAGGTCACATGTAGAGAGAATATCACATACTGTCCTCAAAACACCTCTCCTACAGCCTGTGTGCAACAATTTCAATTTCAATTATCAATCAAAAAAATTTTTTTTGCTGCTTATTATATTGTGGAAACCTGGACATATTTCTTTCTTTCTTTGATTTATAGAATTGTTTTGTAACATTATAAATGTTTTTTTTCTGTCACTTTAAATAAATAAATAATTAGTCAAATAAATAAATGAATAAAATTGAATAGTAGTGCATCACACTTTCCCAATATATTAGAATGATTTCTGAAGGATGATGTGACATCGACTTTGCCATCACAGAATACATTTCTTAAAAATATATAAAAAACAGTTATTTTAAATTGTAATAATAATTCAATATTACTGTTTTCACTATATTTTTGATCAAATAAATGCAGTCTTGGTGAGCGGAAGAGACTTCTATCAAAAAATGAAAATCCTAGTTATTCCAAACTTTTTGACCGGTAGTGTAGAATGATTATTATTAAAAGTTTATAGTTATTGTGAACGGCCCTCATGGTTACTAGGTGAGATGTTTATTTTAGAGAAAGGCTGTAAATCTTACCTGGAAGGTGACGGGCTGATAGATGTCAGACAGGCGGAACTGCTTGAGGAAGCGTTCATCCTCGCTCCAGAAAAGTCGGATATCAGGGATCCCGAACAGAACCATAGCCAGCCTCTCCAGCCCCAGACCAAAAGCCCAACCCATCTTATTCCCAGCACCAGCTGCAGAAGAAACGGACAACTGAGTGGAAAACCTAATCATTTTATTATTTGCTCCTCAAGAGTGGGACATTCTGTCACGCAAAGACAAATGTTTCAACAAGGATGAATGCAACTAGTCAAAACAAATCCACCCGAATCCAAAACCTTGACGTTCTTCTGTTGTGTTGCAGCAGGTAAATATAAACCCTTTTAGTTAACCTGAAAGCAAAACCCACCTTTCAAGGAATGTTTTTGATTATATTGTGGATGATTCATCGGTTCATGTTACTCCAAATAGAACTAAAATATTCCATAATCTTTCATGAAAACACAATAACCTTCACCTCTACTTTGGCTCCTCTCCTACTTTTCGCCAGCCAATCAATTCCCAAATATATTGATTGTCACTGAATATTTAGTTTCACTCATTCATACATTAGATGAAGTCAAATATAATGCATTACTAAGTAGTTAATTACTTTTCCCTTGAAAAAGTAAAGTAAGGAATTACTTTAGATTTTTCTGTCATTTAATTACAGTTACTTCTGTTGTAATTGCATTAAATACTATATAGACTACAGAACAATTCCATATAAAACATCTAATGTTATATGTTTTTAATGTAACCTTCTCTCTTTAAATACTTTGGTCAGTTCAAAAATAATTCATGCCATTTTGTATTATTAATTTGAAAGAATTAAAGAGCAGTTTCATGTCTATCCTTGTATTGTTCAACTGGTCGAGGCTGATTTGGGATTCAGAAAGTAATTAGTAAGAAGAAATTTTAGAGAAGGTAATTAGTACAGTAATCCAATTACAATGCAGAAGATGTCATTTGTAGTTAGTAATTCATTACTTTTTTAGAGTAACTTACCCAGCACTGATTGCGATTGATGCTTCACGCTGACTTCAACTCATATGACAGCATATTAAATGCATCTAATTGGGTTTTACATTTATGCATTTAGCAGTCACTTTTATCCAAAGCAATTTTTCAAGCAATCAACAATATTTGCAATACACAAAGCCAGGTTTATTGATGAGCAGATTACGAAGCAAGCATGAGAAGAGGAGAAATCCAGAGAAGAACGTTTTTTAAGATCCACAAGTGGAGGAGTTATTAAGATTGGCAGTCAGCGACAAGGCTGTGTGGCTCTCAGGCGATCAGTGCTGGAAGTAGTGCCGCTATTTCTGATGTGATTATAGTCATTATTTGCTTTGCAACCCTGTATGACCTATGGTGAGCGGAAGAGTGAACAAACAGAATTTTCTTCTCTTTTCCCGTCTCTCTCTCTCGCGTCACTGTTTAACCCAGTGAGGCATTCCTTCAGATGTGAGGGAAATGTGCTTTATATGTTAATGAAGGGAATGCTCAGGGGTCAAAGCCTGGCTCAGCCAGACGCGACAGAAACCGGAATAAATCTACCTTCACACGTACAAATCAATCAACTCTCCCGTCCAGTCCCGAGTGGAGGCATTAACGATTCTGACCTCTCTCAAGACCACCGAATTAAAATTTTGTTTCAAATGCTCATTTAACCAATTGCAAAAAATTATAATAAATAAAAAAAATGTTCATTTTAATTGTCTCCAAGCTTGAATAAGCATGACCTGATTTGAGTGCGAGCTTGAATTTGATTTAAATACATGATTTCTCTGAAGAAATAATTCAAGCCACGATAATTGGGTGCTGTAGAGTTGCTAAGTGGTTGTTCTTGGTGCTTTTTATTGGCCTTCGTCAACTTAAACTTCTATTGGACCAGTTCACCAAATTGGACTGAATCATCTGAAACAGTTTGTGACTCGAGCAGCACAGATCTATGAGTTACCCAATCAAAACTCACTTTCGGACACCTGACAGTCGCTCAGACTGGAAATGAGTCAAAATACTGGCGTACTTGACCCTATGATGAATGAATGAATTGGTTCTCGTGAGACTAGCATATTCTCACCATATATACAGTTTTAAATATGGATATTTTTCTTACACAAATGCACCGCTTCGCTTCAGAAGGCCTTTATTAACCCCCCGGAGCCATGTGGAGAACTTTTTATGATGGATGGATGCACTATATTTTGCCTCAAATTCTCGACCACCACTGACTGCCATTGTAAAGCTTGGAAGAGCCAGGACAATTTTAATATAACTGCGATTGTATTGATCTGAAAGAAGAAAGCCATAGACACCTAGGATGGCTTGAGGGTGAGTAAATGACCAACAAATTTTCATTTTTGGGCAAACTATCTCTTTAAATTCTGTGGCGAAAAAAAATATTTTTTATTGCGGACTGAATTTCATCATGTGATTTTCTGCCATTCATTGTGCAACAAGTTGTTACATCAGGCGACTAAAAGACTTCATTAAAATGTGTTTGGATTTTGGATAGATTTCAATACTACCCCAGCGAATTGGGGAATTTTAAGGCTACATGATTTTGTGTTGTTATATGAAAACAAATAAGAAATGCTTCTTGAGCAGCAAATCAGCATACTAGAATGATTTCTGAAGATCATGTGACACTGAAGACTGGAGTGATGATGCTGAAAATACAGCTTTGCATCAGAGCAATAAATTACATTCTAAAAGTTTAGCTTTTTTTTTGTTGTACATTTCGTCAATGGCGATGGCGAAAATGCACATTTTGAGGCATCATTCACATCCACGGCATGCTTGTAGCGTGACATGAGTGCAGTATGAGCAATAGTCGCACTGATGCCTGCTTTAGCAAGCACATCTAATTACATGGATGATGATGTTGAAGGAAGGAAGTCTCCACTGGAGTCGCTGCGGCGCTGAGCTTTGGATTGATGGTCGGGCTGATTGCTATCACTCGTCTGTCAGTGGAAATCACGAGCACATCCAGGGAGATAAAAGAGAGGTGTAAAGCGCTGTGACATGGCTAAGAGTGAAGCGGATGGGTGCCAACACACACACACACACACACACACACAGCCAGAAGCCGGCACGAATCTGAATGACCTCAGATAAACGCCACAGCCTCGCGTTTCCCCTCCCTTCTTGAGACGATGATGTCAGATGCATTCATAGCCAATCGGAGCACAGGGGGCGGGAGCGGGCACGTCGAGCGTGGGCTGCGTTTGACGGCATTCGCCTCCTGATGACATCAGCAGGGCTAACTGTCCTTGGCAGCTTTGACTCACAGCTTTGCCGTCCCTCCCTGCCAATCCCATATTCTCTTCCTTCATCTCTCTCTTTCGGTCTCCTACATCGCTCCAAAGTCTCCCGTTGTCTCTCTTCCCTCACTATTACTCACTTTACGCCCTTTTATCACCCCCGTCCCAACTTGTCCCTTTTTTGGCCACTTACTTATCGGTTTGCTTCTAGTTCTTCCCTTGATAGTCTCTCAGCACTTACCTTGTGTTTTTTTTCTCTGATGTTGATTTGCACTAGTCACCCCTCACCAGAAACACACCTGCTGTTTTCAGCATTAATAATCATGTTTGACAACAGGCTGGAGTCTCTAAAACAGCCGTTGGCATGATGGGAAACACAGTGCTGGTCCAGCTTTGTTTAAGATGCTTGTGCTTGCAGGCTTTGGCTGGAGTCAGAGTAATTTGTTTCCTCGAAGGTCTACTTAATAAAGTTTAAAATAGTCTTGTGCAAACCACTTTCCTCCATTTCTCTGACTCTAGTAATCAATTAAATTGGGAGTTTGGAAATGGGGAACCCTGATATAGAGGTGATCCTGGTACCCTAGGCAAGATATGACTCCCACCCGAAAAATAATTACCAAAGTGAAACCCTTTTATGTATAGTACTATACATACTGTATATTTGGTAGAAAACAAACCAAAATCAAATAAATAAATATGTAAAAAAAAAAATAAATAAAAAAAAAATAAGTGAATAATTAGAACAAAGAAACAAACAAATAAACAAGTGGGCTATTTTGAAACTTACTGCGTGTTTATCTAGTACATCCAGCTCGTTTATCTCAAAGATCAAGACAAAATTAAAAAAGAAATATGTAACTAGAAAATAAAGTTTATGAAAAAACATGCATTTATTTATTCATTCATTCATACATACTGTATATTTAATAGAAAAGAAACCAGCATCAAAATAAAATAAAATTAAATACGATACAACACTGTAAAATAAAATAATAAAATAAAATAAAAAAGGACTTTTTGGACTGGAGAAAAAAAGTCTTTGTTTAAACCCTTTTGTGTTTAATACTAAATACATATATTTGGTATTAAAAAAACGCATCAAAATAAAATAAAATAAAGCTCTTATCTCAAAAAGCACAACAAAATTTGATTCCCCAATTAAACAGAAACCTGTATTTTATTAGAAAACAATGTTTATGCTCTCTATCCAGACACACTGCTGTAAGAGAAAATAAAGTCATAATGGAAATAATGATTGTATGAGGCTGATAGGTAGCAGATGGGGAGTATACACACTAAACAGTAAAAATACTGAAAGCACAAACATATCAAAATCAAATCAAAAAACAAATCAAAATCAATTGTGTGGCTTTTACACCAGGGCTGTCCAAACTGGGTCCTGGAGGGCCGGTGTCCTGCAGAGTTTAGCTCCAACCCCAATTAAACACACCTGAACCAGCTAATCAAGCTCTTACTAGGCATACTAGAAACTTCCAGTCAATGAAATCACCTAATATGCTCATTTACTTCTTAAAGAAGGCAAATAAACTATGATTCATGACTATGATGAAGTTCGTGACTATGATGACAAGGATACTGGGTATTTAAATAAAAGAAAAAACAAGCCCTTTGACGTGTCCCACCAAACGTCGATATGAACACGTCAACACAGCAAAGAAAGTGTGTGTCAAGTGATTTCATGGGGTTTTTAAACAGCAAATAAATTAAGTTAAAGGAACACTCCACTATTTTTGAAAATAGGCTCATTTTCCAACTCCGCTAGAGTTAAACAGTTGAGTTTTACCGTTTTCGAATCCATTCAGCCGATCTCCGGGTCTGGCGGTAGCACTTTTAGCTGTAGCTTAGCATAGATCATTGACTCTGAT